ACAAAAATGAAGCCCTTCATTCATTTTCTTTGCTCCAAACTTAGATAAACCATCGCAGGAGCAGCAACGAGCGTGCGAAGAGCATATTGAGACTTGCGCATTTAGGTTAGATTCCTACAATGCTCACTTACTAAAGCCTAGATTTAAGGTAAAATGGGGAAGAAATGGGATTTAAGATCTTGAAGGCATTAGTTAAAGTTATATTTTTTTCATAGCTTAGCAGGATTTAGGTCAAATTATGCTATCAATCATTCCCTAAAAGCATTACATCAAAATAGAAAATTAAACCAAAAAACAAAAGAAATCAAAATGGTAAATATGAAGTGTTGGTCCGGAAACCCATCCATGCCTCCAAGGTACAGAAACTGGTAACAGAGACCCTGAAACCGAAAACCCATCCAGCTCTAAGTCAAAGTATTAGCGAGTAAAGGTGGCTGAGGACCCATGGGCACGCTATACAATATTTTTTATAGAGGGGAATGAGTAAACCTCTCGAAGAGATCAAAGCTCATATTTTCAAACGCAATGACGTGTTCTGAATAAATGCTGTTTGATTTCAAGATTTAGCCAACACTTAATCAGGATTTATGCTAAATCTTGTCAAACATTTTTTTAGCCACAAACAAGGTTAATGTTAAACCTACCCAACAGGGTTTAAGCTGAATCTACCCATCAGCATTAATGCTAAATCTCACCTACCTCTGATTTTAACCTAAACACCTAATTTAAGCGGTTTACACCAGAGATTTACAAAATATGAACTACTATTATTTACAAAATGCTTTATAACAAGGAGAAAAAAACAGCGACGAAAATAAGCAGAAAAAAATCTGACATTAGTAGCAGCGCAAGGTTTTACACCATACCTCAACCGATCTTCACAGAAACCGCCTTGTCGATTACTCTACACTCGCAATCCCGCGGCCGTCGGAGTGAAATCTCCAGCTACCACTGTCGGAGATCCTTCTCAAACGGACGCGCGGTTAAGAGTGACCGGTGTTTTTAAAGCCCCGAAGGGTTTTGCCAGACTCGAATCCACCTTAACCCTTGATTACGATAATATTACACATATGCCATGAAATCATTAGAACATAACGATAGGCGACGAGGTCGTGCCAACTCGACTTCTAACATACACTTGATCTGATAGTGGTGCTCAATAATGTCAGCGCACCGGCATTTATTGACGATCTCTATCAACTTGAAATTAAATTTAATTTCACAAATTAAATTCATACATAATCAAATAAGTAAAATAAAAAATAAAGAAATCAATTTTTGAACCTAAATAATTTAGAAAAAATGAAAGATTTGCATACATATCATTTGTATATCAAAAAGTGTTATGTTGGTAATGAAGAGATTCGAAGACTAAACGATCAGCTAAGCAACAACACCCTCCAGTGGCCGACGAAATGATCGGCTGGTCATCCGACCTCCAAGGGCCGACCGCCAGACCAGTGGACCTACCGACCGAATGTCAGCTCCGAAACGATAGATTGATGAACAAAAGACCATAATGTCATATACTATCATTTTAAGTAAGAGTAATGTTGTAATTTTTTATTTATCCTCATATCATCTAAAAATTGGACTCTTTCATGTTTTGAAAAGACATTGAAAATACTCTCTATGAAACTCTCTCAATCAATGAAATAAAAGGGGAGTGCCCGAGAATATCTCATTTGACCCTCGGGGTAAAGTGCCTCTGAACCCACTCTCTCTCTCTCTCTCTCTCTCTCTCTATTTCTCACTTCTGGTTTCCAATGCTCCAACCCTTGAGTGAAATTCACAGGACAAATCTGAATTCAGCACCACTAACTCCTTTGTATGTGTACATCTAACACTAAAACTTAATTTTTTTTCAAACATATCATCTTGTTTATGCATGTAAATGTTTATTTCACATTTAAAAATTAAAATAGCAATGATATGTGTACATCAAGAACGCGCTTGTGCTGATCTCGAGGAGATTCAACAACCCAAGATGAAGGAATTATGACAGGTCCATCAACAGGAGACCAAGAAACTCGCTTATCCAACTAGATGCATTCATCTGAGCCAGTAAAAGGACAAAAAGAATGATCCGAGTCCAAATTGGTCAAGCTATAGCAAGACAACAAAAGCATCCGAGCTAATCACCGCTTGAAAGCGTGTTGAAGCATCAACCTACCTCTTGGTAGATCCGAACCAAGGAAATAATCTAGTTCTTCACCATCACCAGTTGTCTCATTGACGCCCTTTAGGTTCCTTATCATGGACCAAGAATTGATAATATAATAGAGCCTCACGATCATTCTGAAAACCCCCTCTCATCGAGAAATGAATTAACTATTTAGTTATGGTTATTTGTCATCAAGTCGATAACCTAGTCTCGTTCTACTGACAGAAGCCCCACATTTAAGGATTGAAAGTTGGTAGTCGTATTATATCAACTAATCTACAAAACCTAACAAACTGAGTCAGTTCTACCAATCTAAAGCCAATCAAGTCCAGCTAATTAAATGCATCGACTCCACCTAGCCCACTGAACTGGCCTTATCGCGCTAAAGTACTGCTGGCTCAGCTGGTTGAATCATGGTGTAGTCGAGCAATATGCTCTTGCAAAAAATGCTTATGATACCCTATACAACCACCATTAAAGCCGAAGTAGAAATGTAATATCATATGTTATACCTTTTCCACTATAAATAGGGAGATCTTTTATGAAAAATGGACAATAGACAAGAAATTCTAATATTCAATATACTTCACTCCACTCATTCTTTCTCTCTCTCTGCCTTTTCTATTTTTTATGATCTAACGCTTGAGATGTGATTCACGAACAAATCAAGATTCAACCGATGATCATTGATCAAGCCATAGGAAAAAGAGGAGCAGCACACAAAGAAAAACCACATAATAGAGACACTAGTAACATGGAGTAAACTAGTGAGTTTGTGAACCAGTTGTTCCGAAAGCTAAAGAATCTGTTGTTGGATATCATCCAAGAGACATTACCTCTAAGAAGGGAACATCATCCTCGAGAGAAATAGCCAGCGCCCAACAAGTGAAGGGCTCCTAAAGCTTTTTTATAAATATGGGAATCTGGGTACTTTTGCGGTCTTGGGTCAGCACCAATCGATAGACATCAATTACTGCAACATCTGATCAGCCAGAGAATTAGATGAGAATAGTTTTTGTGCAAATTGGTGTTCAAATATGATTAAAAATAAAATAAAAAATCTTGAAATATTAATTTTGAATGCTTGTTCTGCCCAGAAAAATGTTTGCAAGTGCTTATCTTGTAAGTTCAAATATTTTTCATCAAATCCATAAAAAGGTCAGAAATTAATCTCTGGAACATCAATATATAAGCACGCATTAAAGAGGTTGGAACATATTCTCAACAAATGGTCCCACCAGCACCAAATCTTTTCTGTTGGATTAAATGGGACACGTGTTTTGCCTTTTTTTTTTCTTTGGATATAATCATTAAATTTTAAAGATAATTTCAAACATACATGATATTTTCAAATTATCATTTATGTGATTTTTTAAAATGACATTTATGTCGTATCTAGGGTTGTCAAAAAAGTTTGTTGTTCGCGAACAGCTCGTGTTCGGCTCGTTAAGCAGCAATTTTTTAAAGCTCGAATTAAAACGGAGCCGAACGCGAACAGCTCTTTGTTCACTCGTGTTCAGCTCGTTTTAGCTTGAAATAAAAAAAAATTATATAACTTTTTATATAACAATATATTACATATATTATTTATATAATAATATATTATATATATTTATGTCTAAGTTTAAATCATAACAACTCATGTGACAATGTGGCTAGTGTCTTCTTTTGTATATATTTGATCCAGATTCAAATATCACATTTTACATCTATTTTTCTCAATTTATGTTTAACGAGTCAATTTCAAGCTGAACATGAGCCGAACACGAAAACGAATATTTAAATCGAGTCGAACACGAACACACTGTTCATGTGCCGATTTCAAATACGAACCGATTTCAAACACGAGCTATTTCGAACAAGCCGAACACGAGTAATATATATGATTTAAGCTTGGCTCGTTTACAACCCTAGTCGTATCATGATCAAACTATTGATAATTTGATAAAAGTAAAAAAAATATAGATTGAAAATTTACCACAAATTTTAATATTTGAGTGAGAATTTGAAAAATGAATGATCGGGTTGGGGGGGAGGGGGGCGGTTTGTTGAGAGAGGGTTGATTTGTAAATAGAAAGTTTGGGGTAGTTTTCCCACCATTAAATACAACCACCTCATTATAATTTATTGGAAATTTTACATAGATCCCACATAATTCTTAATGTATTTCCAATCTATTGTTTGTCAAAAAAAACTAATTATGGTAAAATAATTATTTAACATCTTAATGTTGCATGAAAATTTTGCACACACACACTAACATTTTACATGAAAAAATCCTAGAAAGTGAAAAAATTTGGGGGTCCAACCCACTCAAAGTAATTCACTATGCGACCCTAAATATATAAGTCCACTCTTCTTTTGAATTAGTAAAAATGGAATTAAAATATTCGTGATTACATATGTAAATTAATAGCTCATAAATAATAACCATAATTCTATAACATATGTATTTCTTGACTATAATTGTAATAAATGGGCACACAAGTCATAATTAGAAACTATAATAATAGTAGTTGGTCACGAAGACCGTGTGGTAATAAGTTACAATAACGACAGTTTGTCAGGGGGCTGTAGTTGGAATCTGTAGAAGTAGTTGGCCACATGGACCGTAGTTGGGGCTTGCAATGAGGTCAGCTGCAAATAGAAACCATAGTTGAAAGTTGTAGTTATAATAACACAAAAAATGGGATGGATTTTTGAAACTACTAAAATAAATAAAAAAAAATTGTGAAATTAAGATAAAATTTTTATGTTTGTTGATAAGAGTAGAGTTCTTAAAATAAAAGATGTGTTAGAACATATTAATTCAAAGTTAAGAACTTGAGGCATAAAATTTATCATAATATTATTATTTCTTATTTAACTTCATCGTAACAAAACAAAACATAGAACAAAGTACAATCCAAGCACAGAGTACTTTTACAAAAGCTCTCCTTAAAACACAAACCAACTATCTTTATAATTACCACACAACAAGTTCAAACACAGTCTGACCCAAGCAAACATAACATGTCTAAGCATAAGCTGCAGGGTTGGCTGCAAGATACGCCTCCACAGCCTTGACGCTACCGACAAAACCTTCCTTCACCTTCTTGATATCCTCAGCAACATCAACAACACCCGGGATGGGCTTATAAGCCGCGGACAGCTTAACAACAGACCCATTTCCCTTGGGCTCCACCTTAATATGTGAAGTTGCAGACTCAAACTTCTTCCCCAAATCTCCACCTTCCACAACCGAAGTCTTGAGCTCAAGCTTATCATGGTCGATGAAATCAAGCCGCTCCTTCACAAAGCTGAAAGGCACCGCTGCATGAACCAAATTAAGAAAAGTCATCAGCTTGAGACCATTTCGAGCTTAAAAAGAAGTAGAGCGAACCTGGGGTGAAGTTGATCTGTCTGATGCTCCCCGAATTACCATCGCCGGAAAGTGGTGTGACGCCGGTGATGATGTCGGGGAGGAGCTTAGGGCCGAGGTTGTGCCAGTCGGTGAAGGTGGCTTTGAAGAGGGGAGCTGCGGGGACTTTGGTCTCGACCTCTACTGACCAGTTGGAAGCCATGTTTTCAATGGATGTGTTGTAGTTTGGGTGTGGATGTTTGTAGAAGGTGGTATGGTTGTGCTTTTATAGTGGGCTTATGAGTGGGATGGTTGTTGTAGAGTTTGTAATATTTTAGATGGTCGGTGGGGTGATTGAATGTTATGTTGACTGCAGCTGTGTGAATGTGGAGAAAGGAGGATGCAATGTGGTTCAATTTTATTAATTAAAAGTTCGATTCCAGGGATCCAATGAATATTTATTGAAATTTGTTGGAGCTTTTTGTTCATATCACTGTCATTTAAACACTAATAAATTAAAGAGAAAGATTAAGATAATTTTTTTAAACATATTTATATCTCTATTAATTAAAAGAGAATAACTAATGAGTTTAATTTTAGTTTTCTTCGAATGTGCATGTTAAAAATGTGTTGGTGTTGATGCTGAGAAGGTTTAATAGGTCGGAGGAGAAGAGTTTGATGAAGAAGGGCCCACTAACAGAGGATTATGAGAACCACTTATCAGACCGTGTGCAGGCGTCCAAGCCAAAGCCATCAAAGCTAAAGAAGACCGAGCCATGAGGGCAAAAAGATGACCAGATGATTATAATTTTACCGTTCAATCAAAAATAAGATAACAAGACATTCAAGCCAACAACCACTAAGAAGCCGATCTGAGGGAATATCTGGCCCCTCAACAAGTTTAATCATTCCGAAGATGTCCAAAAGCTCCCCCATCCATTATCAAATGTCAGCAATCAAACTAGATCAACCCAGTCATGTAGACACGAAACAAATCAAACTTGGTCGGCCCGCAAAGCCGACCAAATCGATTATGCTGACTCGAAGCGAACATAAGTTCGGCCAACCAACAACGCCGACCAAGCCCAACCAACCGAACCGATTTTGCAGACTCGAAATCAATCAATCTCGACCAACCGATAATGCCTTCCAAACCTATCAAAATGATCTTGTCGGCTCGATGTCAAACAAACTCAGCCGACTGAGCCCGAGAACAACCAAGCGATATGCTCATATATACACAATACTAAGAATACATAGCACAATCTCTTTTAAAACAGAAGTAAAAATATACATTACGATTCTGTATGCTCCCCTAAAAATAAAAAAATCATTTTAATAAGTAAAAGAGGATCGGAAAGGATTGATATGATAGATACCACTTACTATTCCTTTGCACCATATGCCGACAAAGCCTTCCATTTAAACGACCTATTTAAGACCAAAAAAAGAACTCCTTTTCTCTTAATACTTTCTATTGAAGCATTATTATGTCGGCAGACAATCAACAAAGTGAAGTGGCGGCGTCTATTTTCACAGAGAACCGACTCTTATTTTTGTGATAGATTCATTTGGACACGTGTCTTTATGTTTTCTGATAAATAGCTTTCATCATTCATGCCGACCTTTACCTAAGAAAATGCAGGAAAAATTTACATTGGATCTTATAATATCATTTTTATTCCAGTAGCATATATTTTATCAGGTTTATGTGGTGGATAAATTTTGTTTAAAAACAAATAATGAGGATGATTGTTATTTATACTATAAAATAGGGGCATAACTAAAATCTAAACTTTATTGTGGATTCTTGTTTTGTTGAAAGTGATTGCCTCAATGCCCTCGATGCCTCATCGTGTCATTTTCAGGAGGTCATCCATTCTAAAAGTGCTCTAGGACAAAACTGTGAGGGCACTAGGCCAGAGCAGAGAATGAAAATTTGTTCTGTCACATATGATATTGCAAAGGATTATAACATAAGAGAGGTTGTGACGTGATTTATGTTGACCCTATCAGCTAAGAGGCGACTACATACCGAGTTGCATTAATTCGTTCTCTGTCTTGTAGCCTAGCTTCACCCTTACAGCTAAGGATTTCCCCTATAGGACTAGTAAAAATTTCTTTGGCTGCCTACTTCCAGAGAATTTTATTGGAAACACATTTCTTATCGTGAGTTTTCATTGGTATGTCTAGGCTATAACTGACCACGTGGATACGTCATCGTGGAATGCCTCTTTGAACCCAAAACAAAATAAATTTGATTTTGTCTCCTAATTTGGATACGTGGGTCTTCGTATAGAGAGTTTTACATGCGGAGTTCAGACATAGCTATTTGTGCAAACTTATAGTAATATGTCGCTGCATGTGTTACATTGCAGAGGTTATTTAGGAGTTATTTTCAAAAAATGAGCCATGAAAATTAATTTATTACCATTTTAACCATGACAGAAGACCAAAAGATTTAGTATATATGTATATATATATGGATATATGTATGTATATATATATGTATATATATGTATGTATATATACATACATATATATATAGATATACATATATATATGCATACAATATATACATACATACATATACATATACATACATACATATACATACATACATATACATATACATACATACATATACATACATACATATACATATACATACATACATATACATACATACATATACATATACATA